ACAGAGGTACGTACGGTTACAATGTGTATAAACTGAGTGTGGCTAGTGCCTTTACAACCACACGCGTTACCATGTTCAGTTACTGTCTGACCGTGTCACAGCTCTGGCGGTTAGTCACCGGCTTCCCACCGTGGCGGCCTGGGTTCGATCCCAGGTCAGGTCAAGTGGGATTTGTGATGGACAGTCTGCCACTGGGACAGATTTTCTCTGAGTACTTCGGTTACCCCTTGACACTTCTCATTTCACCAAATGTTCCATACTGATATGTCATCTGGAACTGCTACAACAGCGGAATTAGTGGCCGACGTAGTTGAATCAGTATCACCCCACCCCACGGTTGGTAACTACTGCAGAATTACCTAAAATTAAAAATATGACGTTTGAATAGGCTTCAGTATCATAATATCTGTACTAAGTTTATTGAAAATCGGCCATCACGTTCAAAAATTAAAAGTGACACATGGACAGACAACGTGATGATATCGAAAGCCTACTTTCTTTCTTAAGCAAGTAGTTGTGTGAAAAATCTTTGAGGTTACGTCGTCATCGGATAGTGATTTGGGTCTTTACATCATCGGCAGCAATTTACTGGATTCTGTTTTCAACATGGAGCCAAAATCATACCAGAGATCTTGTTGAACACATAGGCCTCTCCTTCCATAAGGTTGCCTATTCAAGGTATGACAGATATTCATACGAACAGCCATTGTGCATTAAGAGGCAGTTCTTAGCCTCCCTTTTGTCTATCGATCTGTCGTCACTTCCAATATTGCAACATGTGCCCTAGGGATGTCTCGGATATTGACACACAGTTACCCTCTGTGAGCCTCTCGTCACATAGATGCACTGTAATATCAAAGTTAGCAGGCGCCACCTCTTCCTCCTTCCCTAGGGTAGATAAGCGCCTAGAGGTGCTTTAAGAACTTCAAGGCGGTAGTTGAAAAATGGCTGTCCCGTGTCATGTCAGCAGACTCAGTGTAACATGTGGCGGCCCGGAATGCAGATAATATTGAAGGAAGCCCTTCTTTCCTGCTCAGTGAACCCTATGTTTCGGAGTGGTTAATGGCTGACAACTTTAAGCCTTAAAACTATCTAGTGGTAACTATATATACCACCTTATTTAACGTTAAAAATTCTTCAGTTTTCCCAGCGTATATTTATGTATTTTATACAATGCGTTAGACCGTCTCTGTGGTCTAGTGGTCAGAGTTCCTGCTTACAGATCCAGAGGCCCTGGGTTCGATTCCCGGCGCTACCAGATTTTCTGAGAAGTAATGGGTCTGGAACGGAGTCTACTCAGCCTCATGAGGATAAGTGAGGAGCTATTTCAAGGAAATAGCGGCTCCGGTCTAGAAAACCGAGATTAACGGCTGTGGGGATCCGTTGCGCTGACCACGTGACACCCTCTATCCGCAAAATTTGGCACCAACAAGCGGCGGTCGCTCGGTCGGTATAGTTCGCTTGCGGACAACAGGCCACGAAGTTTTTTTGTTTTGTTTATACAATGAGTTCGGTGATCGAGGAAACCTGGCAAGAGCGCGGAGTGGGCACAACATTTCTCACAGATTGCTGCTGTAACTGCCGATAGCAGAATGAGTCATTAGCGCTGATAAACGCGCGCCGTCAGTTGGGCTTATCTTGTCACTGCAGTAAGTTTCGTTAATAGTCAGCCTCTGTTAGAGGTGTCGATAGGCGGTCGACATTTATACTGAAGTGATGTTCACTACTGAAGAGCGTGTGTTTACTGTCGAAACTTTTACAAGGAAAAAAACTTACAGAAAATGTATCCATAAGTTTCGTCCTAAATATTCTGGCTCGCCAGTTCCGACAAAGTCGTGTGTATCCAAGTCCGTAAAAAAGTGGCGGGCCACAGTTTCAGTGTGTGACATAAAGAAGCAATCGAAAAGGATTGTGCTGACTGAAGAAAAGGTTCGGGATATTGAGGCACGACTACAGACCGGCCCTTGAATATCGTTAAGACGCTTATCATAGGAAACTGGCGTTTCACTAGGATCCGCTTTCACGGCCACAAAATTAATAAAATTTTGCCCGTATAAAATAACAGTTGGGCATGTACTGTCTTCGCTCGCTTGGAAACCGGGATCGTGGGTTCGAATTCCACTCAGGACATGGATGTTTACTTTGTGTGTGTGCGTTTTTCTGTGTTTTTGTACAGGTAGAGGCCTTGCGACGAGCTGATCACCCGCCCAAGGAGTCCTACTGAATGTGTAAGATCTAGAAAAACCGAAGTGAACGGAGAAGTTCATGGAGGTAGGCCTAGGCCCACTGGAGCTGTAGCGCCAAAGAAAAAAAATAACAATTGTGAATGAGCTGAAACAATAAGATTATGCAGAAGGGGTTCATTTTTGCAACTGGCTGCTGCAAAATGTACACGATGGAATCGTGGATCCACAGCTTCTGTTCATGACTGATGAGGCATGGTTTCACATTAGTGGTCATGTCGATGCACAAAATGCAAGAATATGGAGCGATGAAAATCCTCACACTATACAGGAAGTGCCATTACATAATGAAAAGGTGGGGGGTTGGTGTGCTGTAAGTCCACGGCAAATCATTGGCTCCTTATTTTTCCATAAAACCGTGAACTTTGACCGCTACATTAATGATGTAATGAATCTGTGCTTCAATCAGCTGACTGCTGAAGAAAGACAATATGAGTATTTTAAGCAAGACAACGCTGTACCACATACGGCTAATGCAACCATAGTTGCAATATGGGAAGTGTTTGAGGACAGAATAATCAGTAGAGGCCTGTGGTCTCCCAGATCCCAAGATCTCAGTTTTTGCAATTTGTTATCTTTGGAAAAACCTAAATGGAAAAGTACAAGAATAATCCTCATAGCTTTGAAGCTCTGCAGAATGGAACAACACGTGTAATTGGTTCAATTGCTGTAGACCAACTCCAGGAAGTGTCCCAGAATTTATTTATGAGATGCGAGGCATGTTTGCAAGCAGAAGGGGTCACTTTCAGCACCTGATATAAAGCACGGTAAGTTTCTTATCCTTTTACAGTATTCTTATAAATGTGTGCATATACAGAAACTGATGTGAGGGAATCAGCGACACGACTGCACTCTCACAAGCAGGAAAGGCCATAGTAGTCACGGAGAAACATTCCATCCACTCTACTCTAGCGAGAGTGCGCGCATTTATCAGCACTAATGACTCATTCCACTGTCGGCAGTTACAGCAGAAATCAGTGAAAAATGCTGTGTCAAATCCACGCTGCTGGGAGGTTTCCTCGATTATTGAACGCCCTGTATGACTTAGAATAAACCACAAATATTAGACATTCTTTACAAAGTTAAAGATAGAATGCCTTATGTTGAGGTCATGTCTGTCCATCTGTCTGTCTCTTACTGCTGAATAGACTTTCTTCAAATTCAGTGTGGGAGATTTTTACTGAAAGTTGTGGGACAATTACAGTGTTCAGTCACATTGATCTACAGTAATGCCATCTTTATATAAGACCATAAATGGACTTCTCCATGTATCCTACAAACCCTTCCATGCATAGTGTATAAGTTTGATATGGGAGGTTTTCACTGATTTGCATCTCATTTTGAAGTAAGCTTGATAATCCTGAAAGAATGCCGTACCTAATTTTGTGCGCTATATTATGGAGTGCGGCCTTTCCAGCGTCGTTAAGATGAACTTCATATTCCAAGTGGCTCCACAGAGGTTCAGAGATGGTGCTGTGATACCACAGAACTGTATCCAATTGAGGTCTCTTGTTTAGTATGGTAGGAAGTCACTTTGTTTGTTTCTATGGTATCTTAAATATTTTTGGCTTAGAACAAATTAAGGTGTATCTGTCTAGTGTTTAGTTTATGTTTTTGGTCTTTCTGTTTATTGTATAATGCGTAAATGATGTTTAAATTAGTGTAGGAAGCTGTATCCTTTCATTGGATATCCACATATATGGCTCATTGCTTTTAGATTCTAAAGGGTTCTGACATTGGCGTATAACACTCAGAAATACTGGGTTTTCAGATTTTTTCTATCGTCTGGTATTCTAGAAGCTAGAAAATACAATGTTTCGGAAACTGGATGTGTTTCCATCTTCAGGTGGGGGGAGGGGAGACACATACTCTGTTGGGTCCTTTAGAGAGAGCTGACCTCAATCACTGGACGCACCAGAGTATGTGTCTCACCTCCAACCTGAGGATGGAAACAGATCCAGTTTCCATAATTCTGAGTCTCATTGCTTTTGTTCAGTATAGTAATGGAATAGTCTTATGTGTAACCACTATGTTTCTTGTGTGAAAACTTCAGTTGTACTATACATATGTTTCTGTATTTATGTGACATATTCCACATCCTACAGTCATTTTGACTAACTTTGGATCTGGGGAATATGATGTAATGTAATGTAATGCAATGCAATGCAATGCAATGCAATGCAATGCAATGCAATGCAATGGAATATAATTTAAGGCAAGTAATACTCGTACTAAATATTGCACTTCATATTACTGACTCTTTCAAGGCATCAGATTAAGGCATGCATTGTCATGTCTGATTACACAGCGGAAATGTAGTTTTAAATACATTTATGCCATAAACATTTTTAAAATCCTTTCCATTGCAGACTAAACCACTAAACCAAATATATTATATATTCCATATTACACACCTCTTGTAATAACATGAATTTCAGACAGACACAATTTTCTGTGTTTTTGTAAATAAAATATATGACAGCATGTAATTTGGTAAGTAAATACTTTTTTTTTTAATTTTATTTACAAAGCTTTTCAGAAAATAACAAAATGGTATCCATAATACACCACTCTCCTTCACTTTTGCCTTATAGTGCAGTAGATTTAGAGTTGATTAGCCGTATTGACAGTATAATTTGACAGATATTATCTGTAATAAATTAACATGAAGAACATTGTGTTGTGAGATGTGCTTCTTGTACATGAGACTGAACTCTGGGTATTAAGAACTCAAAGTTATCATACATCTGTCCACAGCTCTGTGTCAGGGTGAGCTGGAAGCAGCACGGCATTCTGTGCTTGTGAAGCAACATCGACGCCGATATGTGACAGAGGATTTTCCTGCTTTCCTCACCCTGTGGCTTGGTCTCCTTGCCAACATGACAGCTCTGGCAGCCTGCTCAAGGAGTCTCAGTGCTACCATGGACTATATCAGTGGCGGCCGCTGCCAGCAGTGGATCCAGGCCAAAATTGGATCCCTACCCAGCGTCCTGGGTGGACATCTCCCTGACTTCATGGCACTGGCAGTCACTGCTGTTCCTTCTGTCCTCTTCATGTTGGGGCTTGAAGTATGTTAACTGCATGAGCTCTTGTCAGGAGTATTATGAACACTGAATAAGTGTTTGCAGTATCCTGTATTTTAGGCTGTGCAATAGCTGAGGTGGTTAGATTCCATTTTCTCACCTTGGAGACCATGATAGAGCGAAGGGTAGTCTATATTTAATTTGGAATGGATAAAGTGACACTGGAGCAGGTTTCCCTCCAAGGATGGTTTTCTTCTTACCAGTTAAGGATTCAGTCAGTGCTCCATCTATGAGTATCTTCAGGGGTTGATGCAATGGGCCCATCTGAGGCTGCAGTACTAAAGGACTTAGTCCAATCTCACTCTTATAAATATCTGTCTTTATGTGTCCAATCCAGTTTGGGAATGTTGATGTTCGAAGAGACAACCATGTAAAACGGGCTAGCCTGAGCTAGTGACAGTGTTCTTTTCAGCAGCCCAGTGTTCTTCCTTGCAGTGACCTGATAATCTTCCTTGCAGCAGCCTGGCATTCTTCTTTGTAGCAGTCCAGTGACTGCAAGCCATCTGGCCGGCAAAGCTTTTGCTGTGGCTGGGTGTCCTGATGAGTGCCGGCAACCGCTGACAGAGTCAGCAGCTGTTAGACTCACTATTGCACTGTTGTCTTGATGCAAGCATAGTTGTGACTGATGCTAGTGTATCAGATGTGTGCATCTTTATACTTTTGCCGCTAGGTAGCACGCTAACCAGTGGGTGTTGGAGATGCCATGGTGAACCACAGGTTTTGTTGCTAGGCAACTAACATAAAGTGGGAACATCAATGATAAAAAAGAAGAAGGATGTTTAACTTTGAAAATGATACCAAGTAAACACAGATTCCTATAAAATCCATTTATATCCTTACAGCTGCTAGATTCACTGAAGGTAATCTTAAACTCCAGATTGTGGTCTTCTCTGTTGTGACACATTATAGTCCTGTAGGTGGGTACCAAATTTTAGAGGAATATTCTTCCTCCATTTTCAGTGCAGAATGTCCTTCAGAAACGTTGATATTGTCACATTTCAGTGACTAAGATGCGAATTTGGACTGGTGAATCGGTTTATTGGATCTTCGCTGGTCGTAACTACAATTAGTTTTTACAATGTCAAGATTACTGTAACTATAGCTCATGTAGCATCTCACACTAAGTCTTCTATCTCTTCTTCTGGCCACACTGCTATTCCCTTGGATCTTTGGAACTCACGTGAAGCCAATTCCCATTCCCATACCCTCTCATATTCTGTGGACATGGACCATGCACAGAAAACACAGTTCTACTGTTGTGTAGTGCAGATCACACAGAAACCAAGTCACGTGATAACTGTCTCACCAGTTCATTGGCATGCTGACTGTTTCCTAGAAATGAGCTATAAACATTTATCCTATTGTTGTGTGACCTTAAGCGGGAAGATGTTTATTGTGCTGTTGCTTGGCTGTACACGTAACAATATTCATCTGTCAGACTACAGTGTGTCATATCCCAGAAGATTAGAATGTTAGTCATTATTTGTGCAGACTGCAAGGGAATGATGATGGCTATACATTGTTACAGAACAACTGTAGCAATACATACGTTGTTATGAAACAGCTTAGCCACCCATATGAGTGTGTTGCTATCTTGCCATTGCAGCACTCCATGGCATTGCAGCTGCTGCTGAACATCAGTCTGGCTGTGACCGTCATGTTCTTTGTCATAGTCGGATCGCTGAAGGCTGACATCTCCAACTGGACTGGGCAGAACTTCATGGCTGCTGGGTCATCAGGGGTTTGTTCACAGTTATTTTGTAGTTGACTGCATAATGACAAACAATCTTAGAGCTTTCAGAGCAGATGCAGACAACAGACAAGGAATAGCTGGGCGGGGTCTGACTAATAACCTAATGAAGAATCATGTTAAAGCTCAGCATAAGGATCAGTGGTGGGCTGTTGTGAACAGAGTAGTGAGCCTTTGGGTTCCATGAAAGTTAGGGAATAGCTGAGCTACTGTTAATTTCTTCAGAATGACTTTGCTCCATGGAATTAGTTAGATGGCATACTTTGCACCATATTTGTTGTTTTAACTGAAAATAAGTTTGGAATTACTGACAGAATCATGTTAAAATTCCAAGAAGCTGTCTGTGCATGTGTGGAAAATATTCAAAAACTTCAGATGGTTCAGTGCTTTTCCAAATTAGGTTTCACTAGCTTAAACCCCTTTGAAATTTCAATGGGGAATTCTTGTGCTTATATCATTATTGTTACTGAATTTTAAATATAAAATTTACTCAGAGAACACTTTCTATGGATATGTAATATTATCTGCTTATAAGAACAAACTTTGTCAAAAATGCAGAACCTCTGTATGTTGAAGACAGCTATATTTGTACTAAGATTAAGAAATCTGCCCATTGTTTCCTGGTCATAACGCACATTTCGAATAACTAGACATTTATAATAAATTGAGCAGTGCCAGAAAATACTTTGGGTTTTTCCCCATCTCTTGGTGATGGCAGAAGATAGTTTGGGTTTTCTTCCATATCATAGTAACAGCAGAAGATATTTTGTGTGTTCCCTCATCCTGTCATGAATTCCATTATTGTTATGATTTTAATGCCTTTCTTATGGATGAAACAATGGGAAAGTAATCTGGCTTGAACTTGAAGGCATGCATGTTTTCAAGCAACTGAAGTCTACCAGGGAGCTCTCTGTCATTATATGAAATTTGGTCACAGTAGGTGCAGTGTTGTGGAAATATGTAAAGAACAAACAAACACATGCCCTTCTATATATGTGAGTACATAAGAGATACTTAGCTTGATAGACTGACAATAGAGGTATATTGTGAACTCTCTGTGGCAAAGATGAATACTGCCTCACACATAATTCTGCTGCTGTCTGTTGCTGCTATTTCTGCTCCTATGCATAGCTACTAGCTATTGTAATGTAAAACATATTGATAATTATATATATAGATATGTATATATGTATATTTGGATGATTACTGATTGGGTCATCTGCTAGAAACAGATTAAATAGCTGAATTGGATTACAAAACAATAATGTGACTTTATAATGAATTATGTACATGTGATTACTTTGTATGCATACTTTATGTTTCTTTGTCTTCACAAGCCTGACAGTGACACTGTAGTCTTATCATTCTGGGCTCGCACTGGAACGTGTGATGTGACTTTGGCATTTGGTATTTAGCTTTGCTGTATGCTGAAGGTGTTCAGATATTGCAGCTGATATTTTCAGGATGACTGATATAGAATGAGGAAATGGACTGATATAGGGACCTTCTGAGAACAAACAGCATTAAACAGCCTTACCACAGTGTTTCTCAACTGGTGGGACTTCATCACCTGGATAAGATGTTAGGTCTAAAATATTAGAATTTCCAGTAATGATCAATATAATACTGGAATGCACGTAATTGTAAAAATATAATTCTTGGAAAAAGAGAAGCTTTAATTAATGAAATCCTCTTGGACTGTTAGTTGGTTAAAATGACCAACACTTGAAGTATCATCTCTGTCCCCAACATCAGGATGAAATGTGATGTTGAATTCAGACTGTCCCATCTATGTACTGACCCATTTTCTATCATTAGAACTGAGCACAAGACAGTGGGCAGAGTCGTGAGCTTGCTTAGCTGAGTCTTATTTCCAGATCGGTGTCTGTACTGTTTGATCTTATTAGTCACTGAGCACCAGGACCAACTGAGCTCAAAATCCCCCATCAAGGTTAAAGTTTCTGAGGTGAAGCCTGATCTTGGCAAACTCCTTCGTGGAGTGGTCCATGTATCTACTGACCAAACAGCCACTGGCTCAAGCTTGGTTATGGTTACAGGGTAGGATTTAGTATAGTCATATCAGACTCTGCTGATGGGGACAGAGATTGTACCTGATATATTTGTAATTTTAACCAACTGACACAGCCGATAGTTCAAGATGAATGCATTGACCTTATTCAGCATGAAAGCTTGAGATCCTACATCAGCCACCTTTAGGCTGGGCCACACAAGTGCACGAAGTACGTCCATTGCAATGAACATACTTCATAACGGACATTGCTGAGGACACCACACAGTTGCAGAATGCAGTGCATAGTGTTTTGTTTGCAATGGAGCCAGAAGAAATTGTAGCATTCGCCTCTCTTGTTTATTTCTACAACAGACGTCATGATGTTCGTTACGACGGACACATTTTGTGTGCTCGTGTGGCTCCAGCCTTGAAGGTATGCTTCATTTTTTTTCCTTGACAAAATGACTGGTGGGTTCAAGGTGCAGACAATTGAGAATCATTGTCCTATCCAACATTCACACTTCCTGACCTCACATTATCAAAGAAGTCATTGAAATAATCAGACATTAACCATGACTGTGGATAGAAAGTGAGCAAAGTCTAGCTTCACCTCCTTTTCTTCAGCCTTCCTTTTTCCTTAATCACACAGTCTATTCCCACTGGATAGCACCACATCCATGCCCTTGCCCTTCTTACTTCCATATACCCTGAAGATGCTGAAACACTGGAGCAGCTTCAGCACATGACATGGCTAAACCCCAACAGTCAGAGTTACACTTATCTGAACTCTGATATTGATATTGGCCCTTCGCTGCATTTCTTGACATTGCAGATGCTCAGAACTCTTGGTATTTTGTTGAACTTGTCATAGAAACATAATTTTAAAGATTAATTATTTGACCTACCATTCCTTTTCTATAGAGATCCTGAAGGTTTGATTGTGATTTCAGACAGTTTCTTAAGATCTTCTTTTGTGTAGAAATAAGATAACATGCAGACACCATGAAAAATTTATGTGTCTTTCCATTTAAGTTGATGAACTATAAAACTGAGTGTGTGAAATTTTATTTGATAGTGGATTGTAAACAAAAACAAATTTTGGATGAAATGCTAATTACAAAATGGATGACATTGTGAAGCTTTGAAGTTATATTTAACAAGTGCCATATACTATGCATACTGTACACTAACCATGGATGGACAGCCCATGGATTGTCCTCCTCCACATCTCTGGCAGTTCATTTTTTCCCTGTAGCATATTGTCACTGTGTGTCCTCTCCAGTTACATAGCTTTGTTGTTCACATGAATGTTGGTGGTGCTAACTTTCACTAGTGAGAAGCACTTTGCATTAGTTGACATAGGTTACAAAAGCCTCGAGGGGAATGTAATAGTAGGCAGAAATATGGAAGCCTTGAGTGTCATCATTGCCATCTATGGGACTTCTGTCCCTAGTGTCAGTCTAGCAGAAACAGTACTGATGCAGATATTTTTTTTTTTATTTATCATTTATTAGCAATCTGAATTTACATTCTATGAGCTAATTTGCTGTCATGTACAATAATTATTCTATTGTACTAAGTTGGCTTGAAGAGCTGTAATCCATCGATTACACCTCAGTTTTCCTGGAGATCGTTTGGCCAAGTTCGTCTTGGTCTTCTGTATTGTGTAGGTTGAAGGAGAGCTGCTATTGCGTTGTTGGGGTGAGATTCCAGTTTCTGATAATGTTTTTGGATTCTGTCTGTGATTACGGTTCTTACATATGGGATCTTGAGGTCGGTGTGAAGAGTTTGGTTTGACACGTACTAATGCACATATGAATGTATAATTTGTGTTAGTCATGCTGTGCAGAAGGAAAGCACATATTCAGAAGCACAACAATTCTGTCCTGAATATTGGACACAGCAGAAACACTTGCTGTGTGAATGCATTGCATTGTTACATGCAATATGTGACTCTCTGGTTTCAGGTGCTCACAGGAACTGCAATTTGCTCTTTTGGCTTCCTGAGTTTTATTGGCATCATGCCTCAGAGCTGGAGGAAGAGCCAAGGCCGAAGACAAAAAGTTACTGCTGCGGGTGCTGCCCTGCTTGTCATGTTTGTCTCTTACTCTGCAGTTGCTGTGGTTGTCTCCCTGATGGTGCAGTTTCAGTGAGTCCAATTTTGTTTAGAACACATTTCTTCAAGTAGTTACTATAGGATTCTGACGATGGTGTATAACACACAGAGATATTGGGTTTTCGGACTTTATCCATTGTCCTGGTTTTAAGATAACTAAGAAAAACACGACGTTTCGGAAACTGGATCTGTTTCCATCCTCAGGTGAGGGAAAACACCTATTCTGTTGGGTCCCTTAGAAAGAGGTAGCCTCGATCACTGGATGTCTTCAAGTTGCTGGCATTGCATATTTATCTTTCTCTTGATGTAATCACCTGACTAGACATGAAAAACATGTGACACCTGCACATTTTGATGTGAACAATTTTAGTTGGCATACAGGAGAATAAACATGGCGCTGTTAGTTTATGGTCTCTTTTATTTTATGGAGTACCAGTAATTGTGTATCTGAATAGGAAAATCAGGCTTGTACAGCTGTGTGGTGTAATGATGTGACATTATACATTCCAAGCTTGAAAACTGGGAAAGAAGAAAATAGAGTGGTGTAATGAGAGACACTGCCTTCATTTGGTGGGGGAGGGGACTTAGAAATTTTCAGCACTGAAAGCCCCCAGGCAGTCTCTGCTCATCCTTTGGGTAAAGGCAGGTTGGAGGAAAGGTAAAGCACTTGGAAGTGATAAAAGGTAGGGTGAATTTGGTTGGAAGTGTGATGATAGCACTGGGAGAGCTGGACTGGGGCAGAATTTTGATATTAACATGGACGGGTGGGATTTTTGTATCAACGGGGAAGGCTGCATGAAAAGTCTGAATAATAATATCTGAAAAATTACATCCTACTCTACAGAAAATGCACTGCATCTCCATTACAGAGATAATCTAGGAATGCAGTTAATGGTGTTTGGCAATATAATCGCTCTCTATTCTGAGTATCATATGGGACACATAAATACACTGTACGAGAAGAATCCAGAGCTTTTACTGTTAAAGTATATGGTACATATAGCAACTAACCACTGTATCCTGACTGTTCCCATATCTTGAAATGTACCAGAATTCTGAAGTGATACAAATTTGTCAAAATTTAAAATTAACAGTATTTTTAACCATATCAGTACAGTAAAATAACCAGTGTTGCTGTCTAGTATCATTCATTGGAACTTACATAGCAGCTGTGTAAGCCTGTGGCAGATTGCGGTATATATCATATAGAACATGTGAGGGTCAAAGAGTCAATAAAAAGTAGGTGGATACTTTTGCTTTTGTATGGTGGTGGATATAGTTAAGTTGGTTAAAAGTTGGTCATCTGACAACTTTTGTTGGGGACAAGGAGTTGAAAGCTTAATAATAAGGTTTGGATTGGGCATTGTGCCCAGTGACACGCTTTCCTGTTGCTGGTACCGGACCTCTTGGTATCAAGAGTACACAGCACATGTTCAGCTGTGCAGAAGGGAGTACTGGAGTCAAAAGTTGGGTGAAATTGAATAGATCCTTCAATGAAATCATTTATTTTTCATCTGTATCACTGAATAGCAGCTGCAGAAGTTATAAATTCGGCTATGATAAACTTTTGGCTGTGCTCAGCACTAATTCCATGATGTCTGTGAACTGAAAATTGGCTTTCAGGAAGCCTAGTGTAGCTTTCTCCTGTGTGTTCTGACTTTTGAATGGTTACTGGGACTTCTGCATATGCAGATTTCAAACATTGCATCTGCAGCTACTGTCAGAGCCCAAATGTTGAACATACTGTATGTATGGGGAAGGGAAAAGCGTACACATTTGGAAAGAGTGCCTCCATCTTATCCCCAAAATGTTTGTTCCAGTTGTGAAATGCATATGTATGGCAGACAGTTGACTGAATTATACAGTGGAGACTAGGAATGTGGAAACTGAGTAGAGGAGATGTGGGTGTGCACACAAAGGATGAAGAACCATGTAATATGAAAACAACTCAGTAAACATCACATTATATAGCCACCTCATTCAGTCACTCTTATTCCTAATGTCAAAGCTTGGAAATTAACTTGATAAGATAGCAGTATATCATGGAGTCCATCATGCTAAATGTGTGAACTTTATATTTAATTAGAGGGTGGGTGTTGTTCAGTTCTTGCACCTTAACTATATTTGATATATTGTTCATCTTACCACCATTTGTAGGATTCAGCTCTCCAGCAGTCCTGCAACTTGAAAGAGGTGCAGTACTTTGCTTAGTGGGGCCATGTGATAGCCATTTGGTGTCATGAACTCAGTTCCCAGGTGGGGATGTCTGGTATCTCAGAGTCAATATTCTAAGCCCATTGTAGGTTGAAGCTTCATAGGACTGTATACCCAGTCTGTTCTACACCAAGATATAGAATGGAGTTGTGTCATATGGGCATTTGACTTGTGCAAATTCAACCATACAGCAATATATAATATACTGTACTGCCACAAACTTCATTTCTCTGATTTTGTGTGTCAGAGCTGTGAAATGGTCACCTGTACCCCTGCTTCATGTGTTTGAAGTCCGTGATGTTGACTGGGCCCGCCTGGTCATGGCATCCCTCAGTATACTGGGCCTTGCTTTGGCTCTGCTTGAAGTGTGCACACCTCTGCACACCCTGGTCGTGCGTTTGGCTGGTGAGTATTTACTTCAGGCATACATCAAGGGGGAGGGGTTTATGCTGGGTGTTGGACATTGGACAGTTTGTTTGGAACATCTGATACTTGATACATGCTGCAGACACTGTTGACACTTTTCTGGTTATAAATTCATTCAGTTCATTAAGGCACAAGGGCTATATATCCATTTTCAAACTGAGTGAAATAAGAATAGGAATTACACACACACACACAAAAGTTCCTATATTTAATGTTCTGCTATTCACATATCAAACATTGTTTCCTCGTTTTCTCTGTTCCACAGAATGTGGAGATAGAACCATGAAGAACAAATGTGACAATGGCATTTGATGGTTTTAGTTAGGTTAGGTTAGCTTCTAAAGGGTACTGATGATGGTGTGTAACACTCAAAATTACTGGGTTTTTGGACCTTGTCCATTGTTTGGTATTCTAAAAACTACGTAGAAAACACAACATTTTGGAAACTGGAAATGTTTCCTTCCTCAGGTGAGGTGGTAGATGCCTACTCTGTTGCATTCCTTAGAAAGAGCTAACCTCAGTCACTGTGCCAGGTTAGCTCTTCCTAAGGGACCCAATAGAGTAGGTGTCTCCCCCTTAACTGAGGATGGAAACAGATCAAGTTTCCAAAACGTTGTGCTTTCTAGATTTTAGAAAATCGGATGATGGTAAGTTCAAAAACCCAGTAATTCAGAGTAGGTTAGGTTAGGTTACAGACATTCATATGTATCCATTCACACCTCCATTCTCAGTGGCCCCCCAAAAGGAGAAAGTTCAGAACACTTGAGCAGAACAAGGAATCATACCGTTACTTCTGGCTTATGGCCCAGTGTAGTCTGGTAGGTTGGTATCAGAGTTTTAAAGGAACATACATACTGACTCCATTTTCACGATAGAAGTGAATCCTCTGAAGTAGAGTCCTGTCTGTTGGACTAGGTAGAGTTAAAACCCAGAAGACAAACGTTTGAATCTTGGTCCCTTTGAAAACCTCAAATAACAAATGTTAAATTGAGTAAATACTCTTATGTAGATAAAATTTCATCATTGCTAAACACTATGGCATGCAGATGTAAAGGGGGCACAGAGATAAAGCTTCACTCCTTGAGGTTAATAGGCATGCTTAATTGCCAAGCTGAGTAGCCCTTGAAATGGTTTGATATAATATAAAGGCCCTTATTGCCTTTGTCACCCCTCCCTCCTGTAGCATAGTTGGTTTAGGGGCTATGCTACAAGCTGGAAGGTGGTGGGTTCAAGTCGCGATGAGGTCATTGGATTTTCTTCAATTGACCTAATCCTTCCAGCTGCACTATGGCCTTGAGGTAGACTCAACCTCTAACAGAAATGAGTACCAGGAATTAATTAAATAATTTTCCTGGGAGTAAAGCACGGCCGGTGCTTAAGGCTGACAACCTTACTGCCATCTTTGAGCCAATTGTCTAGATAATGTGGGACCCTCAACATCTCACAACTCTATGGGCCTTCATGGCCTGTTACAGGGATAGCTTTACTTATTTTATTGCATTTGTCACCTGATCCACAGAAGCATGAACCTGATGTGCGCAACTTGAAGAGTGATAAAAAGACTTGTAGCATTGTTCCCTGTACTCTCTCTGCAGCCAAACTTTGTGAAGTGTTTGTTGCTCTACCTTGCTCAGTTGATGTCTTCTCCCCTCAGAAGTAGGTGATGGTAGAGGAGAACAGTTGTTATCTTTAATATAATGACAAAAGTTAGTTGCTGTACACAGGTTTCAGACTCATAATTGAGTATATTGGATGCTTATAGCTCTTAACTACAAATAATTACAACATATCTGTTACTCTTCCTAATCTTAATATAAACTGGCACCTCAAACGTTTTCCCAGTTTGCTATTTCCTCACTTATTGCTAGGTAAGAGACTCCAATCATGGAGATTCTTTCTAATACTACAGTGCTCAGTGGCTCCTGCTCTGGTCAGGCAAATTGCTGCTAGCCTTTGCCAGCACAGTCATATTGGTTCCAGGCCTTGCAGGACCCATGACCATATATTTCTGTTTCATGAATCTGAGTCACAAGACTCTCTTCTCAGACTTCTGCTTCTGTTCTTGTCTCTGGTTGGAGAAATTGCTGCTGGTCCTCACCAGAATAGTCTTTCTTGATTCTGAGTTCCGCAAGACTCATGACCATACTTGGCTGTCCCATGACTCAGGAGTCTCGTAACTCTTCACTCATTGTCTTTTCTGGTGTCTGGTTACTGCCAATCCATCTTGGCAGAACAGGGCTGATAGCGAGCACCAGTACTGGAAGGGCATGGTGACTAGTTAGAATAATTGAAAAGGGGGATGCACAATAGATCAATAAATGGTCGCAGTGCATGGAGTAACCGACCCCTTCCGAATAATAATAATAAACAAAAATAGGTGAAACATATTTCAAATAAAAGTTATAGCAAAAATCTAGTGTGTCCATAATGACCAAATTTCAGTGCTGCACTGGCAGCTTGTGATAATGTACTGCCTGTTATTAACTGGAGATCTAAGATGCACAGCTTGAGAAGTAGGGTCACAGGTTTGAATCTCTTATTGAGGCACTCCCTTTTCTTTTGTGTTACCCTGTGTTGTCCTCTGTACATAAGTGTCTTGGAATGGATCAGTCCCAGTGCTGACAGTTCTACTGAGATTACCAAAAATACAGTTTCAGGTTTAAGTTTTAATTGCAGGGGAGAAGGAGAAGAAGACTGTTGATTGTTTTTATGTTTATAATGATATATTGTAAAATGCTCCATCTAGCTCCATGTTATCCTTTGTCCACATGTAACAACTTGAGAACTGCAGAATGGAATTTTGAAGAAATTTCATATTGGTCTAACTTGTTAAAAATTTATGGAACTGAAACATGTGTTTCACATAGATGTGTAGAGAGAAATGAATCATGTGCACAGTCAACTTTTTCCACGAGTTTTACAGATTTTGAGGTAATTACTCAAGAGTGAGAAGCTCCTCAAAATTTTTAACGGTATGTGAATGTGTCTTGTGGGGCATGTGGTAGCATAGTTAGTTGAGTCACTGTGCTACAAGCTGGAAGGTTGCTGGTTCAAGTTCTGATGAGGTGGATTTTTCAGTTTACCTCATTCTTTCAGCTGCACCATGACCCTGGGGTTGACTCAGCCTCTCACAGAAATGAGTACCAGGAATTTTCCTGGGGTGTAAAGGCTGGCCAGTGCATAAGGCTGACAACCTTACCGCCATCTGTGAGCTGATGGTCTAGAAAATGTGGGAGCCTCGATGTCTCAAAATCCTATGGGCCTTCATGGCCTGTAACGAGGATAGCTTTACCTTGTCTTTCATGTATATGTTTTCTAGCCTCTTTGTACTGAGAGCAAGCAGGATAGCTATATCTGATACTGGGAACATTGCTGATAATCAGGCTGTTAGATGTCTTGTATGTCTGTTGGAGTGCTTATTTGAATTTTGGCTGTACTGCCACAGGAGATGAATGGCAGGTGTTACCACATATTCTGGCTAGGGAGAATTCCAGTATGGGTACACCAATACTAGCAATATTAGCTGCTGGGCTGCCTGCTAGTCTGCTGGCCTGTGTGTGCCCACTTTGGCTGTTGGTGCGTGTGATGTGTGTGGGTCCACTTGTTGATCATGCTGTCATGGCTGCCACAGTAATTCACAAGCGCTACCAACCACACACTGGGACTGCAACAGGTCAGATCCTTCTTAGTATTCTAGCATATTAATTTATGTATACCAACATGGTACTGTATTGTTGCTCTTAACTGTTTGTCTTAAGCATGTCTCTTATTTTGTTATTAGTTCCATAGGCTGTTTGTATGTTTAAAGCAATGCTTGGGCTGCCAGAAAGTCTTTATAGGCAAAACTGGAAGATAAATCTGATAAGATGTGAGGAGTATACTCACAGTATCAGACAAAATAAAGAGGATCCAATTTTTTTTGTGTGTATATTTACAGCAACAGATATTCCTGTGGAACCATAAAACAAACTGTGACAAAAATTTATCATGCAGATGAGGGACAGATCATCAGTATTATTGAAAGTTTACATATCTACCTACAGAACACACAAAGCAGGTTGATTGATGAGTAGAAATGAGAGGATAGTAACTGTCTCTCTGATCTTCTGAGCAGTAAATGCAAATGAACTTAGTGATTGAAAACACTAATATGATTTCATAAGTTTAAGTTATACAGAATGTCCCATGAGGTGTCCCAGGAAGAAAGGTCAATATTCTGGGAGGTCATAGTATCTGTCATTCTAAGCAAAAAAGTGTGTCTTATTCCAAATGGTTTCTGAGATAGAGCTATTTCACTCTACGGTTCCAGTTGTTGGTAAGAAAGAAATATTACATAACGTTTCTAATACTGGTGTTTATTGTTCAAGTGACCAAGTTGGTACAGTTTACCTAGTATAATACATTTTCAAAAATTCCACCATCAATATGAATGGACTTTACAACTAATGTGAGGACATGGCACGTTGCTTGTCTGTGCAATGTGCTGTGTACTCTACAATGAAATGGCTCTATCTCAGAAACTGTTTGGAATAAGACACATGTACATATACACATTTTTGCTTAGAATGACTTGTACTATGACCTCCCAGAATACTGATCTTTCCTCCTGGGACACTCTGTATATTTTCACTATGTTATCGGGGCAGTGGAAGCACCACACACAATAGTTGTGAGGGTTCTGCCCATTACCTTCGATGAAATTCTAAACCCTCTTTTTTAAACATTTGCAGTATTTTATGTTATTATATGGGTTCATTTGTTTTATATTTGAAAGGAATGAAGCCCCCTTATTGCTAAAGAAGCGAATGTTGTCTTAGTTGAACTCAACCTTTTAACATACACACTAAAATTTACATTAAAAATACATATTTTTATAAATTCATACAGGAATGGGGAATATTTAAGATCCTTAAATTGCATAATAAAGTGTTTAATACTTTCTGTATGTCATAACAGATTGCCACTTCACTTGTTTTACTAAACATAGTGTAAGTTTTAAGAAATGAAACCTTGAGCATCGTTATCAATGTACCAGGTGTCTGGATGGAAGGTATCCAAAATAAAAAATGTGTATCTCGGAAACTAATTGTCATACATATATCTGGAAAGGAAAACTCTGAAAGTTTCTTTTTTCATGCCCGGCTTATGTGCGCTGCCACATTTCTGCCACCAGGTTAGGAATCACCTGGACAGAGAGATTGCTAGGAGATGGACTGGCAGAGATGCACCAATTGCTTGGCCCCCTAAGTCGCCAGATTTAACACCAGTGGATTCTTTTTTGTGGGGTTATGTGAAGAACATTGTCTACCAGGTTAAGATCAATGAGCTTCAACACCTGAAAGCCCACATAAGGGACACTGTGGCTACGGTAGCATCAAACATGCTTCAAGCAACGTCGAAAGAGGTTGAATATCATCTGGATATTTGTTGTGCCACCAAAGGAGCCCACATTTAAATTTATTGAGAAAGTTATATATGCAGAAAGGTGCACCATATCTCAAGTGGTTAGTTGCTGGCTTCCCACCACGGTGGCGCAGGTTCGATCCTGGGTCTGGTCAAGTGGGATTTGTGGTGGACAAAGTGGCGCTGAGGCAGGTTTTCTCCAAGTACTTCGGTTTCCCCTGCCAATCTTCATTCCACCAATTGCTCCACAATCACCCTCACCTATCATCTGGGGCTGGTACAATAGGCCAGAAGTGGCCGCAGTACAAGGGACTTAGTCCGACCCCACTAGCAATTAAAAAAAAATTATATATGCAGAAAAATACTTTGATAGTTTCCCTTTGTAATGTTGTAACCCTTAAGTGTGTATAACACATGCTTTCTGAGATATAATTATTTTATTTTGGATACCTTTCATCCAGACACCCTTTATTAACTGACTGAACACCTCTGATGATATTTTGATGTTGAAACATGGCTTGGTGTGAAACTTAGTCTTTGATATTAAAGGAGGAACATAGACTGAGGGTGTCTGAGAACAGAGTGTTGAGGGGAATATTTGGACTGAAGAGAGATGAAGTGATGGGAGGTTGGAGAAAACTGCATAATGAGGAGTTTCATAACTTGTACTGTTCTCCAGGTATAATTAGAATGATCAAGTCAAGGAGGATGAGATGGACAGGGCATGTAGCACGAATGGGGATGAAGAGGAATGCATATAGGATATTGGTGGGAAAGCCAGAAGGAAAGAGAGTACTAGGAAGACCAAGATATAGGTGGGTGGATGATATAAAAATGGATCTTAGAGAGATAGGATGGGATGATATTGATTGGATTGATCTGGATCTTGTGAACACGGTAATCAACCTTCAGCTTCCGTAAAATGCTGGGAAATTCTTTAATGGCTCCCCAGTTGGCAGCTTCTCAAGAAGGGCTCAGTTCCATGAGTGAGTGAATGAACATGCTGGGTTATCAGTTAAGTTAAATTAAGTAAATAAATAACCTTTCATGTTGTAATTTGATGGTGCCTTGATCTTTCTTTCTTAATTTATTGTGGATTACAGCAGCTCAGAACACGGTGTGAAAATATGGGTATGTTTGGTCTTCAGCTGGTTTCTTTTCTTAAGGAAGGAAGTAGGCTTATGAGTTCACCATGCTGTCTCTGTGTGTTTGTGTGGTGCAGATACTATTCCCAAAGTGCCAGCAATTATTATTCATGGAACCGGATGATCGATGTTTGTCATCAATAAACTCAGGCATTAAACAGGCATACAGAGCAGAAATTGCACACTTAATATAAAGACAAAAATAAAATTACAATACAGTTATTTTTCTTGGTGTAAGTCACGTTATCTTATTAATCTGAAGTAGTCCAAATTTCTTGGAATAGGTTTTGAATGCAAACTATATGCCAGTGGTTCATTTTCATTTACTGTCCCACAGTTTTTCTCAGGAGTCTGGAATGAATTATAGTTGATAATAGAACTGCAGAATATGTAGAACAAATATGTAGTTATTATACTAGAGCTGAGATTCTCACAGTGATTGCTGTTAAGATTATGGTCTACTGCAATATGATGCCATGTAGTGTGCTAAATAGGTAATTACATTTCTCCAAAATGTTGCTACCTGTCTGACATACTATACAACCTCACATTCCAGAGACCATAATCTTTGTTTTATGTAATCAAAAAGTGCTCTTCTTATTACAAAATTTGTTACAGACAATGAAGTGAAATATTGTCATGTGGGTCAGAAATCCACATCAGTCTGTCATCCACATGATGAGTTTGATGAGTTTGATGAAGATGACATGGAAGCAGGTCAGAAACAACACAGGTTAACAGTCCGTTGTCTGAAGTCTGGCTTAGGCTTCTTACCAGCTGCCATTCGCCAGCATGTCTCGTCTGGACCTGACCAGCAATACTACACAAGCCTCTCCAGCCCATGCTCTCTTCATGGTGACATTACCAACCTCAGCAGCGCTACCCTCTCTTCTGAGTCTATCACTGTCACCTACATAGATCCTGATGACATCAGCCTAGCAGAAGGAAATGTGATTCCCAGTCAAATTAACTGCAGCCTTAGTAATGAAACTGCAGTGACATCACTGTCATGTGATTTGGCAACACAGGGTCAAGTTGATAAAACATGTAATGGTTCAGTGAAATCTATCAGATCTCTGGAATCAAAGATCATGAATCAAAGTGAAGTGGAATTGAGAAATGTCACCAAGTCACCAAGTTCTGTGAGACATATGCACAATGATATGAAGGTTGTTAGTAATGGTTCAATCATGTCTTCAGAATCTGTTCTTTCTGCAAGAAACCACAGTGGCAGAGGCTCTGCTGGACCATTGTTGTCAGTGAATAATGATGAACAGGACAGGAGAGCTATTTGTAATGGTTCTGTGAAATCTTCAACAGCACCAGTGAATTATAATGACAGAAACTTGGTAATTGGAGATGAAGAGTTGGTTAAACTTGGAAGTGAGTCTGGCACGTTCGAATATTGTGAAGAACACAACAGTGCAGATGACACTGGCAGTGAAGACACAACATTGTCATCTGCATCAACCTGTGATGAGAGTGACAGCAGTACAACCGACATTGATGCTATCGTGGCAGAATACAAGGAAAAAATTAAAGTAAGATTATTGCATGGTGAGGGGTGGGGGCTTGGATTAATTTAATGCTAGATCATCAAAATGGATGTCCATATTTTAAAAGTTTACATTTTGTAAAAGAAATGACCAATGAAATTTATACCTTTTCTTTTTGGATGTGTCATCTCCAAATTGTCATCTCTTTTCACTTTGTTGTGTCAGCAGTAGTGAAGCTGATGTTCATCACTGGGCTATCTTCTGCCTATGTATGGTGGGGATCTTTGTCATGTGTTGGGATTTTTTCTTTCCACAAATTGAGAATTCTGTATTGAGTTATTTTTTGTAGCAAGACAGTGCTCTGCCATATTTCCCTGAGAAGCCTTAAATGTTAAGTTTCTAGGCTAATGGATTCTATGAAATGGTTCAATTATTTGACCAATGAAAGTACTTATCTGATATTTTAGGTTCATTTTTGGGTCATATTGAAAACTTATTTCTGAGAAAAAATTTTGACATAGAGCAGTTGCAGCCATTGCATGTCACTTTGGTTTTTCCCAGCTGTCAAATGCTGCTTGCATTGATAATGAGTTGCTAAGTTGTTTGACATTTTGGAAAACACTGTTTCATGAAACAGAACCTTTTACCATATGCACATGTTTTTGGTGATCAGTTCTATAGAAATATTTGTATAGTGTTTGCAGAGAACCACACATTTTTAACAGTGTAAGAAGAAAATATTTTCTTGATAGAAGGAGCTACACTCCTGGCTGTTATTAATGTTATTGGTAGAGCAATGATAAAGCATTGTGCTGTAAACTAATAACATGATTAGGTTAACCCTTCATAACTGACATGTCTGCCACTATGGATTGCTCTGTGTGACCATCCTCTGGTGGTAGAAGTGAAAAGCTTTGCCAGTAAACACAGGAATTGCACCACCCACTATGCGAAACAGGAAATAAAAATAAGACCTAAAAGTCTGTGACAATGGTATATTAACACTTTGCGGACCGGCAATTTAAATATTTAAATCACCCTGGGGACTGGCATTTTTAAACCTACTACACAAACAGAATATACACGATAGGGAAGAAGAGCTCCAACAGAGTAGGATGAACAGGACTGCCGTAATAAGATACNCCTAGAAGTGCTTGAGAGTGTGATATTTCTTGAAACATTCCCCTTTGTGAGGTGGCATTACACAGAACTTGCACATGTAGACAGTCATACTCCTTTTGTTGTGTACTGTGCAAACACAGCATCGCCTAGAAGGCTGCTTCCCCTTATCATGTTCACTCTTCACAATTTTCACGAGGGTATGTTTCCGCATATCACCCGAGAGTCACCCAGGGGGGTCAAAATGAGGCCTGCGTGGGGTGGGAGTAGACGCCCCCAATCGTACTAAGACTCTCTGCCGCCACCGTATGGTCTGTAGCCCGGGCTTTTGCCACATTCATCAGAAATGCCTTGTATTTCAATTTTGAATGAGGGTTTAGATTTTTGAAAACCAAAAATGAATTGAAAATGGTACAATTTATAAGCCACAAGGCAACTTTCTTTGTCCACTTTATTGTTTTCTGAGGAAGAGAATAATAGGCCAAGTACTGATCGGCTCTATCAACTCCCTTCATGAACATATTATACTCAGAAATACAAACAGGCTTCTTTACCTGTGCATGTCTCCTTTGAACATCAACCATGCTTGAATTGTGAATTGTGGAAAAACAGTTCCGCTACTTCAGACACTTGCATTGGGTCCAATGGAATTTGCTTCACTCCTGGATTTCCAGTAAACTGTCCCAAAGCAGGCGTTTTGTCTACTTTTCCCCATGTGGCTCTCCCCGCAATGTTTCTACCCGCACTTTCGTCAGAGCTACTGTCACTTTCACTTTCACTTTCAATGTCTGTGGCCACAATTTTTTGTTCGCCCCTGCCACACTCACTAGCAAACTCACAAGGGATGTCAGATAGCTCATCGGAGAACAAGTCAGATATTTCTTGTTCTCCGAGAAAATGCTTGGACCTCAACCTCTTCCGACCTTGATCCATTTTGCACTAGTAACTTCCTGCCTGGTGCATGCAGCTGGAAGATGAACAAAGTCATTTTCTTTTGGAGTGCAAAAGGAAAACGGGTGGGTCATAAACAGTGGGGTCATGTTACTGACTACAAAGCAAACATTGAAGAGGTCTATCACGCACCAGTCATGCGTCTGCCTGGCGCCAGTGCAAGGTATAGCGTATTTCAACATTACGTGTCCTAAAGTCATAATAATATGCCACTGGTTCACCACATTTAAAAGCGCTGGGCATAAAAATATGCCACTGGTCCGCAAAGTGTTAATACAGTTATTGTGTTTTTGGACATTATCCATTGCCATGTTTTTTGTTTGAAACAACGTTTCAGAGACTGGATTCTGTTTCTGTCTTCATCTAGAAGCGTATTCAGTTGGGCCCAATTGATAGAGCTAGTCCTATCTCAGATGACAGGGACTAGCTGGATTCTGTCTGTCTTCAGGTAGAAGACTACTCAGTTGGACCCAATTCATAGAGTAGTCCATATCTCCAGAGACAAGGATTAGCTCTATCCATTTGGCTCAACTGAGAAGGCTCTTACCTGAAGACTGAGACAGAATCCAGTCTCCAGAATGCTGTTTTCTAATAAATAACAGGATGATGGATAATATATATAAAAAAAAATATTTGTACAGGAAATATAATTTATATTTCACGTGCGAACATTTCATGGCAATCACAGCATTTATTATACCATATTGTACTTTGAAATTTGTTAAAGAAAATTGCTTAGCACTGAAGGGATTTACATTTGGTTGGAGCTACAAATGGGAGAACTGTATGTCAGAAAACATAGGAACACTAAAACAGCATTTCCTTATATAGTGCAAAGTACAAAACACATGCATAATTACTCACCCTACTTCAATTATGAGCACTCAGCACATTGCTACGAGCAACAGCAGCCGCCAGTGAAGCAGGTGTGCTCTCAAAGTAGCAAGGATGACTTGCAGTGTTGCCTCATTTGCTCCCTGAAACTTGCATCCCTTCAAAACAGCTTTCATTCTTGGGAATCAGTGGTTAGATATGGGGAGTGCACTTCCTGTGGGTCATGTGCACAATGCTGGAAACCAACATCACCACCCAGGAACTTGAGGATATTCTTAGGTTTCCAGAGTTACCATGAGAAAGTGTAATGTCAGATTAGCATCTCCAGATCCAGCCCCTGCTGATTACCTCCTGTTCCCAAGTAATAGAAATGGGTCCCAGGCAGTAGGAGAGGTTGAAAAGACTATGATGACGGTACTTAAGGAGGTTGCAGGATACAGCCTGCAGGAACACTTCCTGCAGTGGTTTAGTTGCTGGCAGAGGCATGTGGTTTTATGCATAAAAAGATGTAAAACTGTCCATGTGACAGGCAGTGGAGGACCAGAGGGTTGTGAGATGTTGAGGCTCCCATATTTTGTAGACAACTGGTTCACAGATGGCAGTGAGATTGTCAGCCTTAAGCACCAGCCACCTATTACCCCCAGGAAGATTCCTGGTACATATTTCTATTAGAGGCTGAGTTGACCTTAGGGCCTTAGTGCAGCTGGAGGAATTAGGTCAATTGAAAAATCCAGTGACATGGAGAATTGAACCCTCGACCTTCCAGCTTGTAGCATAATGCATCGATCAACTACACTACTGTGTGTCACCTGGTTGTGTGCATAGAGGTTTTGTGTAGTAGAAACCAGCATGATATGCGCTGATATATTCATGAACTTTCGGACTACTATGCATTGGTTCTCATTGCTACTAAGAAATGGGAAGATAAGTGTTTTTGTGCCTTTTGGATGTGATCATTATTTGCAGAAGTTGGCACTGTTTCTAACAGGTAGCAACAGCACAACCAATTGTGTGTGCCCCCACAGCAGCCACAGGTCGTCGTGTTACGCTGTCCCTCATTGGTGTCCTGGTTTGTGTATCAGTGGTTGGTGTGACTACTGTCCTTTCTGAAGCTCTGAGTGCATGGTGTGGGAGCCTGGGCCTCATAGGAGCCTTGTTTTTGCTGGCTGTGATTGCCCAACAGCCACAGAATGACCAGAAAACAGAAGGCAGAGTACCTCTTGTCCCATGGCTGCCAGCTTCAGTGGTGCTGATTAATGCAGTCCTGGGTTCACAGCTTATAGCGACTGTGTGGCTGGCCACTGTGATCTGGATGCCTCTAGGTTTGTCTGACAATCTGTAGCGTTGAAAAGCATAGTACATCTGTTGAAGCTTGATGTTGTGAAATGAATAGACCAAAAGGATTAATACTTCAGAATGAAGCAGCAAGCATGTGGAAATATTTTTAACCGTTTATATTACAATTGTAACACTGTATGAATAGTGAAATTCCTATATCTTTGTACTGAAATTCGAATTTCTCATATAGGAAAACAGTGTGAATATGCAAGTCCAAAAAAATATTTTTGTAAATGAATTTATTCTTCAGAAGAGATCATAAAAGTGTCAACACACAGGCAGCATGGCAATCTTTTAAACATAATCCCCCCCCCAAGGGAAGGAAAAGGTTAAATGCCCTTGCTTGGCATTCTCCAATTTCCTCTTTGTTTGAGTTTGTTACTTTTTACATGCTGAAATACACATTATCAAGTCAACACTGACTGATAAATCTGTTACTCTCTTCTTGCAGGATTCATACTTTACTGGAGAAAACGTGGTTTGTGGCGGACATGTAACCGTCCAGGGGTAGGTGGCAGTGACTCAAGTAGGAGAGAGCATATTCGACTTCATGCCCCTCCCCGTAATCCTACAGTGTCCACACTAATCCCCAGCCATCACCATCTGCCAGATGAACGTTTCCGGCGCCTAACTCAAGTAGACACAATTTTGATATCAAGATGATAGCCTGTATGTTTAAAAAGAGCTGGGTAGATTACTGTAATAATGCAAATAAAGGAGTGAAAGATCTTATTTTAAAAGATGTTAGTGTATTTTCTTATGTACTGATATAATTATTAAGAATGTCTTGTTTTAATGCTAGATTGGAGAGAGTTGTGTCACAGAATCGAATTACTCTGGAACAAGGCATACATTGAATAATGTTCCAAAACAAACATTAGTGTGTATTTAGAAATTGTCTTTAATTTACATGTTTACCTGTAATGAGTCAATCTGTCAATCAATTACGCAAGCAATCATCTGAATAAGTAATCTATTTATCTGTTGTTACAAAATCTTTTGTATTGAAAAGAATATTCAAACTTATTATTGTGTAGGTATAAACTTCCATTTGAAATCTGAAGAGAGTGTGACATGGTTCACTGTGCTTTTCCCTTGGGTGACACAGATTACGTCTTCTTTGGGACAAATCAAAGTAGTTTGTGTCTCCAGACATAAACAATTTTGCTTTCACTGTGAGTGTAAATAATCTTTTTTGCAACCATGATTCATTAATGTGAGTTGGGATAGTTCAGTTGGTCAGATAAGCTGACTTTATGTTCCACTACTTGCCATCTGTGTGCAACTTTGGTTAATATTCATTTGTCTTCATCTCTTTACTGTATCCCACTACTCGTTTCGGCACAAAGTCAGGTCTACCCAGTGCAACAAGATGCTGCAATATAATATGAACTATAGATAAGCTGTAGGTTGGATGACTGGCAGGGCCAGGCAATTTTTGGGTTGTCATTGTGCTTGGAACAGCTCTGGGGCTCACCTGATGGATACTGGGGACACTTTTCATGGAGTAAAGTTGTCAGGGCAAGAAGCTGACCACTTTTTATACATTAGGAATTCAGCAACAGAGTAGAATGAGTGTGTATTTAAATATCTTTTTAGTGCTACTTCAAATTGTCCCTTTTTGTTCATAAGACTTAATTCTACCAGTTTTCTTTCTAATGTAAATAACTCTCATAACTTGTACTCTTCACCAAGTATAATTAGAATGCTGAAGTCAAGGAGGATGAGATGGGCTGGGCATGTAGCACGAATGGGGAGAAGCAGAATGTGTATAGAATATTGGTTGGAAAGCCAGGAGGAAAGAGACTACTAAGAAGGCCAAGATGTAGGTGGGTGGGTAATATTAAATTGGATCTTAGACAGAATGGGGTGGTACGGGATTGATCTGGATCAGGGCAGGGACCAGTGGGAGGTTCTTGTGAACATGGTAATGAACTTTTGAGTTCCATAAAATGTTGCAAAGTTCTTGAGTAATTGCATGAATGGCATATTCTCAAGAAGAGCTCAGGTACATGAAGGAGGAGGAGGAGGAGGAGGAGGAGAAGAAGAAGAAGAAGAAGGAGGAGAGGGAGAGGGAGAATGATGATAATGATCATAATGATGGTGGTGGTGGTGATATCTTCTGCTCTTAAGCAAATTACCCCAGAAAATTATTCTGTTACTTCATTAAAGAGTGAAAGTAAGCAAAATAAATTGATTTGAGAGTGTCAGTCTTGCTGATGTGTAACATTAGGTCTATCTGCATAACATACTCCATTTAACTTAGGAACCAGTTGATTAGTAGGATTTCTCATGTTTAAGCGTTTCATTCATTCATTCATCAGTAATCTGTCAGATGACAGGTCCACAGTCTCTTCCAAAACAGTTTCTCCACTTAATGCGATCTTCTGTTTTTGCAAAGAGACTATCCAGGAATAGTGATAATGTGGTAGTTTTTCCATTTGCTTTCCACATCGCAGTACAACAGCCGTTCAAACCACTCTGGTCACGCCTGTTGCTATACGAACTTGAACCATCTCGAGCATCATTTTCTCTGTGCTTCAAGTCGCTGCTGATGACGCTGCTTCCGGCATCAGTTTTCGGTGTCTCTCTTCGTCTGATGCCTACCCTTTCACCTGTCCAGCAAGGGAGGCCCTGCCAGTAGCTACTCTACCGCTGGTATAGCTCTCAGGGTCCCTGGCATACTCAAACCCCCTCACCACGATAAGGTGGAGACACCAACGAGGGGGTTTAAGCGTTTATCAGTTTGTAAACCAAGGAATTTTGGGTTTGCTGACTGTCCTGTATGTCATTATAGCCAATGTTTAGATTCAGGTTAAGTTCTTTTGAAACAATATAAGCGCTTCAGGATGGATGCACCTAACGTTTTTCTCCTAATATTGTATTTAAGCATCCTATTGCATTAATATATCATTTATTTCACATACATTTTCGTCTTAAATACAATTTATTATATAGTCACCCTTCTTCCACATTACATGGTTCGGCTACATACATCTTTCCTCTGTGGCCTTTAGTCCACAAGCGAACTATTCTGATCGAGCTACAGCTGCTTGTCGGCGAAGTTAGTGCCAACTTAGGATAGAGTGTGTCTCGCAGTCAGGACAGTGGATTCCCACGGCCGTTAATCTCGGGCTCATAAACCGGATATACGGCTTCTATCTTGCTAAAATTGTTGCACTCTCGATCAAAATTTTGTATCGCATGTGAACGCAATATTCCCTGTTTAAAATATATTGGCCTTCATTAAAACAAATTAATTGACATCCCAATATTTTCCTTATGGTCGTCGTCCTATCTTCTCATGCCGTCTAAACCGGTCTCAACTACCACTGTATTATGAGAGGATCAGGATTATTATCTACCATTGCAGAAGGCAAGTGCACGAAATGAAAACCTACAATCATGTTTTACATTGGACGAACATACCATTTAAGATGATGTGAGCAATTAATCAAACATAAGTTTCCCCAGTGTGCTCCTGCTAATCTTGAAACCAGTAGCCTGCTTGAAATCTGCTACATTTCTCGGAAATTGCGGTTGCCAGTTTCCTTGGTGTGCCCTCGCCCATAGGCTAAAGTGAAAGGGGAAATATACAGTTCTGCATTATAAAATAATTCCTGATTCTAGCACTTGACATATTTTCGCATTCTCTGGTACCATAAACCAGCTGGAAGCAATATCATATTGTTCTCTGCAGGCAAGTTTCATATCTATGACTCGCAGGGTCACGGTGGAGGTATTCGACCCCACCTCCACACAGGTTTCTCACTTATAAAGGATATAGAGAGAGAGAGTTACTTTACGACTGGCGATATGAGTCTGAGTCTCATTTTACGACCGACGGTCAGTCGGCCAGTCTGTCTTGGCGTAAAGCACCCATCTGGGGCTTGCGACCAGAACTTTGTTACTGTTTGACAGTTACAGTCGTTTTTTTGTGGGCGGCCCCTCTTACGAGAGGATGAGTCTGTCTTTTGTATATGCTGCTGGCCTTGCCAGCGCAGTCTTTCTCGGGTCCGAGACCATATATTACTGTCTCAAAATTGAGACTTCTCTTTTCGTCTCCTCCTACAACTCGCAGGGTCACGGTGGAGGTATCGAACCCGCCTCCACAAGCCTATATTGTCGGAACGTGTTAATCGACCGATTGCATAGCAATGGTCGCTGCACTGACTCCACTGTTGCGTGGTGTCACAGACTAGCGAGGAGGGGTGTTTACCGAGCGTTGCGTAGCGACGGGCTGAGTGGGGGTATGTGATGTCACTCGCGGAAACGCATAGGTCATGCGACTCCTACTCACTACGCTCACTACTGCAGTATGACATCATCGCGCCTGCGCGAGAGTCTTGTTAACCGGTTGAAACTTACAAGTGGGTTGCATAATCTCGTTCCACTGCTGCGTTAACTTAGCAACAGAGTGTTTATCAAGTCTGTTGCCCAACAACGGGTTGTCGTATCACAATAGTTACGTGCAGAGGAACAGCGTTGTCAACACCTCCTGTGAACTGTGAACGAAGGTTAGCATTTCCCTTTATTCCAAATGTTAAATATACGAATTAGATTCGTATGTAAAGTGTTTTGTTAATGCGCTTCACGCGATCAGATGTCAGGGTTGTATATTTCCCCTTTCAAAATACCCTACTAATCAAGAATCGTCAGGAACTACATCTAGGCCAACTCATTTGTACCCACTGGTCGTGAACATTATTTTGTGAAGCTATGATAACATACACTTCTATTTGTTTTTAAATATGTATTTTCGTGGCACTTCATTTAATTTGGCTAATTTTTAGCAAGTATATTGCGAGGGAAATTTTCTTACGTGTATTATTATGAATTACGAATTCTGAACAGTGTTCCGTGGTGCTATTGCCGTATATCCGTGCTGATGCAATTACGTCGAGGCCAGGTTGGGAACGGTAGGGAGCAGCTGTTTCGAAATGTTTTGAAATCAATGTCGTTGGCGTCTGTGGTTTTGGAAGGTGGAAAGAGAGTTGCTGCTGGTGTGATTGATTTTTATCATTCTGAGTACTTCCCTCTGAGGTTTGTAATATATGTAGTAATTTAGGAAGGAAAAGTTGAGAAATATATATATTTCTATTATTTTCAAGTTTTTGTTTAATATGCTCAGTATGTAGTTATGGCTTTTTTTTTGAGGAGGCAATGATAACCGAACTTTAGCTGCATCCTAGAATGCTTTAGTGCCTCGTGGTGGCAGTGAAATTGTGTTTTTGTCAGATGTTTGCAAAAATAATCTCATGTGAGATGTATTTTGCCGTACCCGAAAACAGCCCCATAGGGTTGAATGTGGATCTGGGTTGTAATTCGTGGATAACCCAATGTTTCCGAGCAATATATATATTTTCCATATTTTGGGTCTGAAGAGTGAACGTAGCCGGAAACCTGCAGATGAAGGTGGCAAGTTCAGCTCATTTCAGCTTGTGTCTTGTTTCTGGTGGTTTGTTTGATCATGAAGGTGGAGGTCATATGGTTCTGCAAAACGTTAGGCTGTCTTTGAACTACATCATCTTACAACCCAGAAGGCCCACTCTTTCATAGTCCTAATATTGAACGTGGTCTAGTGTTTTAACATGTTTTCATTGTTGATTCTCATTCAAGACCTACTAGTGTATAAGATGTGCTGTGACTTTTTGGTCCATTTTAAGGAACAAAAATCCTGGGAATCCAGAATTATAAAGTTTGCCGTGAAGCAGATCAACCCCAGAGTCGCCTGTCTGTTGTTGTGCTGCAGTTTCTGACTTTGATAAATAATTTACTGTAGAGTTTTTCAGTTTAAGAATTTTGTAAAATAATCATATGTGGCATTTGAATTTTTCAGAGGTGAACATGGATATAATGATAGTATCTTTTTAAGTGTGCTGTTTTGAAATGTTTTTTTGCCAGTTAGCTACTTCACCACAGAAATCTTGCTTTAGAAAGTGGTACAACTGTTGTCTTTGAATAAGATGGATCTGATGAGTGTGGACCTTCCAATGATATGCTCATTAACTTTACCATTTATGAGTAAAGTTTGATGTTTTTTCCTTCAATTGAATTAATTGAATGGATGAGGTAGTGTTTTGGGGCTGTCTCGTGATCTGGCAAGGCTAATTTTCAAAGGCCAGGGCTTAGTTATGTGCATGTCAGAATTATCTGTGGGTCTTTCTGGCACCACATGATGTCATGAGGTTGAAGTTGTATAAAATTGCCAAGTCTAAGTGGGTCAGTTCCACGTTTGGCAGTGTACCAAGTAATTGTTCTTTCATTTGATTTGTTTCATTCTGGTCCATCACACTAACAATTATAAATACAAACTACTCTGTCCAATGTGACATATAAGGTTTTACTACATGAAAACTTATCTCCCTTACATGTTTCGGTGTGATTTGCGTGTTGAGATACGACATAAGGATGACAAATCCTGAACAGTTTTAATACTTTTAATATTTAAAATTTATCAATATATATGACGAATATATATTTTAGTTATTTTAGTATAAAGACAACAGGGCATGCAATGAAGTAGTTCGACGTACATCAAAAAGCACCTGAAGATGGCACTTTAGTGCTGAAACATGTAGTGCAAGAGAGAAGAGTAAGGTGAATAAATGTGTGCACTGTAAGACGGTCAGAATAAATCATGGACATTAAGAACCTCCTCATCAAGATAGACAGGCAGCACAAAATCTGCCCCATACAAGAAGGACGATAGGAGTACGGACATGAACCTACGTTGTTTAAATTTTTAATTATTGACAATAAAGGTTTTTTAAATAACATCTAGAAACTTTTAAAAACTTTACAATACCAGGAAGCAGCTGTGCTTGTGAAATGTTCGACTTTATGCGTACTGTGCATTATAGGATATAAGTGTATGTATTTTAAATCAAAACACCTATCGTGATGGTAGTTTCCAGTTTATAATGATGTTCCCTCAGAAGATGGTCTCTAAGGACCGAAACATGTAAGGGAGATAAGTTTTCACGTAGTAAAAACTTATATGTCACATTGGACGGAGTGGTTTGTATTTATAATTGTTCCTTCATTTACTTAAGTCCATAGATCCTTACATGATTGGAAAACCAGTGGATATAGAAATAGTCAAAGACAACAGGACAAATCCCATCAATTATATAAATAAAAATTAATTATATTTAATGCATAGTAGTTACACATATTATCCAAGACAAATCACAATGAGTAAATCATTCGAACAGTTATAAAATATATATGTAAAAGAATGCAACATACTAATATGACACAAGACTACAATAATGAAACACAAAAACATCCTACTAGGCATCCAGTGTATAACAGACCAAGATTGTTAGTTAATATTGAAGTTAAAATATTCCTCCAATGAGTAAAATGAATTTAAGAGTAGAAATCTTTTTAAAGCAAATCTAAATTGTTTCATATTATGAGCTAAGTTCTTTATGCTAGAAGGAAGATTATTAAAAACTTTGATTCCAAAATAGTATGTTCCTTTTTGAAATACAGTTACATTACATACTGGATAATGGAAATTGTTGTTATGTCTTGTATCAATGCTATGAATATCAGAGTTAGATTTAAATTGTTCCCTGTGTCTTACCATAAATAGAGAGAAAATATGTACTGTGATTGGAAGGGCAAAATTTCAGTTTCTTAAACAATTCCCTGCAAGGGTCTCTACTTGTAGAGTTAGTAATAGTTATAATTACCCTTTTCTGTAGCCTAAAAATATAAATACTGTGGGGAGAATTGCCTCAGAAAATTATACCATAGGTCATAACAGAATGAAAATATGAGAAATAAATCATTCTTATTGTTTCCTGTGACATATAAAGTTTGAGAGCCATGATTGCATAACAGGCCAAACTTAATTTGGACATTAGCCAGTCCATATGCCCTTTCCATGTCAACATATTGTTGATAATTAATCCAAGAAATTTGGTACTAGTAGATTTAGCATTCTGATTGATACCGTAGTCAATGTGCATATCTAATGGATAACTATTCTTAGTCAAAAATTGTATACAGTATGTTTTATTGAAATTTAGTGTCAATAAATTAGCTTTAAACCAATCATTTATGTTTTTGAATGTTTGAATAATATTGTTTTCATAATCTAAAGGGCTGGAATTCGTGATAATTATGCTGATAATTATCTGCAAAAAAGACCAGGTTTGTATTGACTAATTATATTGTTTGTCAAGTCATTTATACAGTATGTCCACAAAGTCCCTTTGGAGTTTTGGAAAAATTTGGTGCACAAACAAATTGAGCTAGCCACATGCAGTTTGCGGCAGACCACAGTGAAACTCCGGAAGTTTTTTACTGACCTCAGTAAACCTCGATGTGGGCTCCCTTGGTAGCACGGAGAATGTCCTCACGATATTCGAGCTCTTGACGTGTTCTGTGGAGCATGTCCGCTGGAATAGCCAAGATGGCATTCCTTATACGGGTCTTCAGGCCATCAAGTCCTTTAACTGGTGTTTGAAACACACTGCTCTTGACATAACCCCACAGGAAAAAATCCAGTGGTGTTATGTCTGGTGAATGCAGATGCCAAGGCATTCTCTGCCAATCCATCTTCCTGGAAATGTTCTGTCTAGGAACGTGCGTACCGGTAGACCCCAATGAGGTGGAGCATCATCTTGTTGCAGAATGATGTATGGCTGTACGTGCTCAATTTGTGGTACCGTGTACAGTTGCAGCATGTCTAGGTAGGTGTACATGTTGATCGTCTGCTCATGAAAGAAAAGGGTCCAATAACCTGGTCATGCATTACACCACACCACACGTTCACTTTCGGACTATCACGTATTTATTCCCTAACAACATGTGGGTTTTCAGTGCCCCGTACGTGCACATGATGCCTGTGAACTTTACCCGAGGCATGAAATGTTGCCTCGTCTGTGAACATGATTTTTTCAAGAAGGCCACATCAAAGTAAATGCGGTCGAGCATTTCTTCTGCAAAATTTTGACATGCCATGTCATCAGCAGGTTTCAACTGTTGCACTAACTGAGCATTGTATGCACACAACCTCAACCTCTTATGTAGCCCTTTGTGTATTGTTGAATGTGGGAGTAACAATTCATGTGAAGCTTGATGTGTGGATTTTGTAGGGCTTTGTACAAACGATTCACAGATTCTTTCCACACATTCATCGCTTACATCCTGGTTACCACTTCTCTTGCTCATGGATGCTCCCAGTTTCTAGGAAGCACCGTTTCCAGTCTCTTATTGCTTTGTCACTTGGAGGTTGCATATTGAACTGTGTGCGGTAATTTCATTGAGTCTAGGTGACTGAATTTGTCTCAAAAAGCCATCCTGCACAATGTGCATGTTCCTTGCATAGTCATCATTTCGCAAACAACTGACTGAGAAACATAAATAAGGCCACTTATGCCATCTGCTGCAAACCGCATGTGGCTAGCTCAATTTTTTGTGTGCCACAATTTTTCAAAACCCTGAAGGGACTTGGTGGACACACTGTATATAGAAGAAAGAATACAGGACCCAGTATTGATCCCTGGGGAACACCATTATTAACTTTGCCCCATCTAGAATGAATATGCCAGTTATTGATTACAACCCTTTGGTACCTGGATTTGAGATAGGATTTTATAAATGAAATGATTACCAACTATTCCATAAAATTCTAATTTAGACAGTAAAATGTCATGATTGACACAGTCAGAAGCTTTCTCCAAATCGCAGAAAATGCCAACTAATATTTTGTTATCCAGTGCATTTAATATATTGTGACATGCTGAGCTATGGATGACGCCCCCCCCCCACCCCCCGCCAGCCGTGATGCGCCGAGCGAAGCCGAAGCGAGCCGATGTTAGCCGAGTCCTAGCATCCTGGTCGCTAGGCAACGCGAGTCAACAGCGGTGACGTCACCAAGTAGTAACAGTGGTTACTTCTGGACAGCGTGGCTAGCAACAAGGCACCAGACGACAATTGTCCGATCAAGGCTACATAAGGAGCAGCGAAGGCTATTTAAAGTCAGTTTTGTACTGAGTCAGTCAGTGAGTCCTGGAGCTACCTAC